CCGATCGACAACAGTAACTATTATATTTTAATACATTTATTAACTAATAAATAAAATTAATAAATTTTGTAACTATTGCAATACATTTAATAACCGATCGCCATTAAAAGGTTTTGCATTGTTTTGTTTTTACGTTTTATGATAATATAATTAAATACTGTCATAGAACTTGACTACCCGAGCGAAGTCAGAGTAAGCCACTAGTAAATAATAAAGGCACATTTATCATTAACCGTTATTTTCTGAATTGGCAGCCCTATTTGTTAGTTGTCGATCAATAACAGTAACTGTTATATTTTAATACATTTATTAACTAATACATAAAATTAATATATTTCGTAACTATTGCAATACATTTAATAACCAATCGCCACTTAAAATTTTTCATTATTTTGTTTTCACGCTTTATACTCGTTATAAGATATCTTGTAACAGACCTTGACTCTGCGGAAAGTAGGTGAATCTCCTATTTTTTTAAGTCGATTGAATGCCTCATAATTTTATGGCTTATATCCAAGCTGATACTTTATAATATATGAAATTTAAAATTAATTAAAAATCTGCTACTTCAATGAGTACAAAATTGGTATTGGACCAACATGAAAGAGCAATGCCAATTGATTGCAAGAAGGCTTATCAGGATTTTGGCAAAAAACATCGTCGAATTAAGAAACTCTTTGTTATTAATTCTTATAAACTATTATGAAATTACTTGACATAATATGTGTAAGAGCATATCCTTAGTGATGTTTATTTATTTACTCTTTATTGCATCACTGCACTTTATTGCATACTATTGCAAAAAATACAAAACAGTATGTATATATTACAGGTATAAAGTACAAAAGCCGGTCTTATCGCTAAAGCAATCTCTTCCAGAAAACCTTTGGGTAGGGGGAAAAAGAAAGAGGTTAACTATATGCGACGTTATCACTTTTCATCAAGTAAATCATGTGTTCCAAAAGTAAACCGACGTCAGTTGTAATAAAACCAGTAATTGTCATTTAAAAACTAAATTATTGAACCTATTTCTGATAGAAATTTCTATAAAACCTATCTGTAAGTATATCCGTATACATAATGGACATAAAGACATTGGTGGGTTCTATAGAAATAAATATAGGTCTGCAAGGGATAACGAAAGTATATAAGGACTCACCGTCTTGTCGTGGGCTATTATATGATGTCCTGTGCGGGCGCCTTGATTCCTTCCGTCACTTTATCACCAATATACACACAAAATATTGTCTAGAAACACAGCACTTCAATTATGAAAACGGTAACCACATTTACAGCACAATAATGTTATTAATATTTTATACGTAGTTGCTCGTTGATTGTGGAGGTCACATTTGCAGTTAAGAATTGAAGACAGCTCTGAAGTTTCTTAGAAGCTTCCGGCGTCCTTATTGGTTGTTGCAACTCGAAGGTAAAGACGATGACGGTGATTGGATAGGATAGGAGGAAGGGAAATGAATTTAGCACTAGGTACCAATTATTATTATTATTATTATTACTGAACTAGCATATATATATATATATATATATATATATATATATATATATATATATATATATATATATATATATATATATATATATATATATATATATATATATATATAGAATAAATTTATATTAATATTACTTAAAAATATACAAAATTAAGGGGATGCGCAAACAGACATATCCAAATTGATTTATAACTGACGAGGTTATTGTTACAAACATTAAAGAGACCGAATTAAGAAAGATCCTCTTTCTTTTTCAAATCGGTTAAAAATATTAAAAATAATGGATCTTACTTTTATTTCATTTGTTGTTTTACGATAATATCAACTGTAATAGTCATAATTTATGACTATAACTTCCACTATTATCAAAAACAAAACACGGATTCCAAATGTCCAAAGTACGTAATTAGTCCACATTAGCTGTACCAGGAGGCCTCGCAAACTACCGCGCTATTACGAACCATTACTGAGTATTAAGTTTTTTTGATTAGCCCTAATTAAGCAATGGCGGTCCGCTACCAAAACATAGAATTTATTCCCGCCACCTAATTGTCTCATAGGTGTGACAGCCATTATTTTAATTGCGAATGGCGGCTTTAATTGCAGCTTACCTTTCTTTCTATGTGCTTTTAATGACGCTGTATAATGTATCATATTATTCCGTGGCCTTGTTTCTTGGAGTACCACGGCGCCAGAACTTCGATAAGGGTAATCGTGTTAGGGCTATTTCCAACTGAAAGCATAATGTACTCAAAAAACTAGTTCGAACCGGTTTAGTGAGTTTTTTAGTGGCGAGTGATTAGCGAGAGGAAAAATTACTAAAAATACTAATATCTCTAAGAAATCAATGAGCAGACTTATATTTAGAAATTATGTGAGCCCCCTCACTATTGCAAATTTTTAAAAACTTGACAGATTTAGGTCACGTGACTACAATCTAAATAATTAGTCTATGGTTTTAGTGCTAATTTGCTAGACGCTTCAATTTAATATGTGAAATTACTTTATGAGTTTTATCGAGTATATAATTTTTATTTGTATTTTTAAATGATTTTCAAACTATGGAGATTCTTCATTTGTCTGATTTTTTGTGGCTATATTATGACTATGTGGATTCAACAGCGACTTTTACAATTCTTGTTGCAAGCAATATCCATAGGCATACCCTCATGTTAATCTTATATAAATTTTGTAATTTTGAAGCTTTTATTATCCGCTGCGGAACAAAAAACTGCTTGTTCCAAAGCAAAGTCTGCTTAGATACAAGATTCGGCGTTTGAAATTCAAATATAGTATCTAAGAAATATCTCGGTCAACGAGTAAAATGTACTTGTTAGAACTTTATTCCCAAATTATACAATTTAATAAAAGAGAAATAGTAAGTAATACATTAATACAAAGTTATTGTTATTTTATATCTTTTCTTTTTTTTTCTATTATTGATAACACTACTATTAGGTAACACTATCTACTAAAATACTCAAAAATGTTCAAGCATTATCAGCAGAAATTCGTCAAAGGTAGACTGGAATCATTTAAGTCAACAATTTGCGAGCAAAGCGCCTAGAATAACGTTACAAATTAGGGGGGGGAGCCTAGGTGGGAGGGTTCAGCATTCGATGCTATTTACCATACGTGGGCCTACTATTTTTTCATGGATTTTTTTCATTTTCTTTTGAACGCCATTTTCCATGGCCCCGCCGGCGACCCGGCCAGAGAGATTTCTTTTTTTTTGCGAAATCACTAAATTGCATATATGCAAAACTACTATAGTGATTGAGTCACACATTGCTTGCTAGCTTTGTTCAAAATTGTACTAATTGGTATTTTATTGGGCTAAGACATATAAGGAAAATTCAGTATCGACAAGTTTTGCAATTTAGTTAAGCCTTAAATGGCATGGCATACTTAGTATTTTATATCCTGTATCCACAGTTATAAAGCAGGCTTTTATTTGTAAATACAAGCTCAGCCAGTTTAGCTCAATGCAATACGATGTGGTGAAAGTAGCTTAAGAATAGGTAATTTTACATTGTACTATTGTCGAACTTTAATTTCCTTAGTTTAAGGACATTATATCCATGCCAATGTCTAATGAAGTATACACAACGTCGAAATTATGTGTAAATTTTCAAAAACAATTAAATTTTTAACAGTACTTCTAAATAATTATTATTTAACCGATGCTCAAAATGTTAATTGTGCAATTACATACTTATTATCCCTTTTTCGGATTTTAAATGCAAAATAATACTTTTTCAAAAAGAAGGAGGTAATATTCTTCTTCTTTTTAAAGAAGTAGATTAAATGTATGGCTATTTTAGATAAAGAACAATAAAAACTAGGTAAGAACCTTTCATCAGACGCAAGTGCAGATTTCATATGCTTTACCGGCTTGAGCCTTTGAATTATGAATGCAAAAGACTGCTTCTTCAAAAAGAAAGAAGTTATCACTTTCTTCATTGTGTCAATTTTGGTTGTATTTTTTTATATTTGTCAGTTTTAAACGGGTTTGATTAGTTTAGTAGTTTAGTTTTTAGATCAAAATAACTGGTATTTTCACAATTAAAGTCGATTTTGTTATGGGTCACTATTTTCAATTGTTAAATAATTAATTAGAAATATAAAACATTTCATAAATTGACAGATAATTCTTACGTTGTCACATCGATAAGCTTTAGCACGAATGCACTAAGTAATACAAGTTTTGTTCCTCTATGCACGCACGACCTTCCCTCTGATAAACTCACTCTTTCTATTATTCTCATTAAGTAAATGTCTTTGTCAATTAAGTGCTTGAAATGATAATATTTATTCAATCGTATTTCATTTCCCCTTTCCGTCATTATGCTACTTGTTCCATAATATACTCCGCTACCCAAACGTTGCCTTGAAAGGATTACTTTCAGCAATAAGGCCGCCCTGTTATACTCAATTCAAAATAAGTAGTTACATAGTTTTATTTAAAATATTATTAACTATAAGAAAAATGTTTCGAAACTAGAACTCAAATGATGGAATTTGAATTAACTTTGTTTCTGAAAAGTGATTTAATCAGATTTAATCAGATATTTATATCAGAACATATAAATTATATAGCAGTTGCTTATAAATATATAAACAGAATTGTATTCTGTATTATAAATTACAATAAATTTTGTCTATAAGAAATCTCACAAGATGGATAGATATAATAATAATAAATTCAGGATTAGATGGTTTCACGTTAATAAAAAAATTCCTATACAATAATAGACATAACTAATCAGAGGTATTACTAATTTTCTTTTAATAATAATTAAAAATTCACTGTTATAATACAGAATATTGAAAATTATCCTAATCTTCTTTTTGGATTCAAGATCAAATTATTCAGCATTCTTTACACTGTTTAAAGAATAAAAAAAAATATATAAATACATTTAGACATATTATAAATATACAGAATATATAACTCTAATTGTAAACTTTCTTTTACATGTAAAGTATCTACTCGCACGCATGACTTTCTACATGAAGGCAAGTTGATTTTACGTATTTTATATAATTACAAAACATGTCATAAGAAATTTATTATTTCTTCTTTCTCGTATTGTTTTGTTACGAGATCGGTATTCTTAATTATTAAGCGGTATTTTGATGTAGGAACAATATAGAATTGCGTTTGTCCAGTATAAAGACTTTTATACCTCTTATAAGTATATTTCGGCTGTTTTCTGAGTTGTTCTTTTTTATCTATCGTTGTTTAACTAAGAAAGTTTTAACTAAGAAAAATAAATAAATAATTTAGCTATTGCTCTTTTCAAATACAAGTTGAATTTACAATTTTCGGATTTTGTAAGACTACAAATTACCAATATAGAATACTAACTAATAAATGAAAATTTAAACACGTAACATATTAATTTAAAATATTACTTTTTTATTCGCCTTATACACGATATGTATAAACATATCGTGTATAAGGCGAACTATATAATGCTAAATGCTACAAACATTCTCGCTAAGTTACCCTTAGGGAATTAATTAAAAAAAAAAAAACTCGAATACGTTACTACAATTAATAAAATACTCATTGATAAAGAAAAATAAATAAAAAAATTTTCGATAAGAATTCAATTTGAATTTAATTTTTGAGCACAAAAGATTTCACTACTTTATTGCTTACTCTAATTGCGACTCCAATCAGTATTTAAGTGGTCTCTAACAATAGAAATTTTTAAATTCAAATTTGGTGTGATTATTACTGAACAATCGAGTGAACGCGTGAGTTGAGTGCCCACGCGCCTCACTACGGGGGCCGATAGTCCCCTGTAGCCCGCACTACTACTTATAACCCTCTATTACGATGGATCGTATCATAATTATATTGATGACATCATTGTGTATTGGTAAGCATGCTTGGTGTAGAGGTACTGACTTCGATTCGCGAATAGGCCAATTTAGGATATGATTTTTTCTAAATTTCAAAGTGTATTTATTTTTTACATGGGTGAAAGTAGATTATTAGTCGCGGTGTATGCTATTGGTTAATATTAGATAAAACTGAGCCATAATAGGTGATGAGAAAAAAAATTGAAATGCATTATATAAAAAGGTGATGAATTCACCAGAAATTAACAAATATGAGGCCGTTAGTACCCTTTTCCAACAATCCCCTTAATTGCATTATACTTCTGAGACGCTACTTCTCTAAACTTATCTCCTAACATATTATTTTTATTTGATAGTTTAGCGAAATTACTGTTTTATGAACGATCATAAACTTATAGCATAGCATAGCATTATATATGGTAGAGGTGAACATGGACAATAACGCCAAAGAAAAAAAGATGCTTGAGACATTCAAAATGTGGACATAGAAGAGTATGGAAAGGATAAACTGGACACAAAAATTAACGAACGAAGAAGTCTTAAAAAGGATGAATGTGAAAAGAACATTCATAAAAACAATAGAAAATTGATTTATAAAGAGCATACTAAAAGCAAAAATAGATGGCAAAGATCGAAAAATGACTACATGGGGCAGATAATGGAAACATTAGATGTCATGTTGTATAGGGAGCTCTAAGACATGGCCTAGAGCTGGCTGAGAGAGAATTCGTGATTTAGTTGTCCCGGTAAAAGGAAACTCTTAAATAAGAAAAAAAAAACTATTATAAACTAAATTTACAATAATTTTGATATAAATCTATTAGAAACTTCATATTGGTATTAAATTCAAATTTTAATTTTAGAAAAAAATGTACAGAATTGTCACTACAAAGTGCGTTCATTATCTAATTTCTTGTATCATGAAGTATCTTAGATTTTCATTGATTGAAAAGATTGCTTTCAGCAATAAGACCGCCTTACTGTACTTACACAAATGTATCGTTATATTTATTGTCTTTTTTATTCCTTATATTGTATAATGCAAATAAAGTATACTTATTCATTCTTTCATTTTGAACCAGACAGTTGAAGTAATTTTAACTTGAAACTATAACAAAATTACGACGTCTGATCAGCGTATTAATATTAGGATAACATATTCTTTTAGGGGAAGACTCGTACAAAGCAATGTATGGTTATTATAAGAGAAGGCCATGTAAGAGCAAGATTTTATCAGCGCTATATGAAGTATTAAAGTCAACCGAAACGCATAGTAATGCAGGTGTCGACGTGTCATTTGGCAAACTAGACGCAAACATTTCAACCGACGTTCATCACATCTGTAATCCAGTTACAGAGCGATAAATGAAAGGTAATTGAAAGGAAATTACGCAATAAATGGGAGGTTATTATTGAATTTAATGTTAAATTAATCGTAAAGCCCCCTCTAGCCATCTGTCGCTCGCCTGCTGATCAGACGCTTTATCGATGCGTTCACAACAACAAATTCGATTATTTGACAAGTGCTTTTCTAAATGTTTTAAGAGGTTTTCGAACGCGAATATGTACAATTAGCAAGTTGCCTATTAATTTAAAAAGCGCCATCTGTTGTTGCTTTACCAGCAACTGTTTACTGTTTCTTTTGCAACGATCCGATAATAAATAAGTACATGTTTTTATTCTTTAAATATGCTATTTGATATCCTGAATTGACTGTTTAATTTTTATTTATTTTTTAATTCATCTTTTTTAAATGTACCAAATTTCATTAAAATGAATAAAAATTGCAAAAAAATCTGTCACGTCCCATTTAAATTCCCTAGAGATAATAATGTAAATAAGTTTACATTATATTTTATTTGAGTAATAATAAGGTAATCTTTTTTAGCATAAATGTACTTTACCATAACTGAGGTTAAAAAACAGGACAGAGATAGTCTTAATAGTTGCTAAAATAAACCGCTATAATTGACAGGAATCACGTTGGATTGTCAACATAAGGATTCTTTTTGTAACATTTTGGTAACAGAATAAAAAAAAAAAACGTTGTCACCTTAATTTCTTTTTAATATAAATTACTAACTTTCTACCTACTACTTCATACGTACAGGTTTTAGAAATAAGAAAAGTTTAAGAGTACCACTATTATATTCGCATTCAAAATGTGCAGTAATTTTTGAGTGATGCTAGAATAGACATATATACATAGATAGACAGACAGGCAAAATTTCTAAAAAATATTGTTTTGGCTTGTCTTGCTCTTATTAAACCCCCTCATATAATTTTTTTCTAAATATCTCCCATGTACAGATATCTTCGTCAGAATTTGATTACTTTAGTAAGATTTAATTCACTAAATGTGTAGATAAGAAAATATCGACTTAATGAAGAAGGAAATATAGTCTAAAATACATATGAATCATTTTCAAATACTACTCTAAGTTTAGTGTTTGATCGGCGACCAAAAACTTCTTTATCAATACGTACTCGTATATGTTTGAAATACCTATCCATTCTCTTTTTACATAAGCATATTAATCAAAGCCTTTAGCTACTAAACTGGCGTCAGATGATTTATCGGCACCCTGTCCACTGGCCATTTTATCCTACTTTTATATAACAAATAAATTAATTTTGTTCTGTTTCATGAATTTTTCCTCATTTATTCAGTAACAAACAAAAATTCTTACGCTCATAAAGACTTTATTTTTTTAATAAAGATTTTTTTTTAATTTTTTCTTTTTTATTTCGTTTTGACTCTATATATTAGTAGGCAAGGATTATTTTCTTCACTTTCAATTAATTTCTTTATACCACGAAGATAGCAAATAAACCTACAGTCCGGCTAATGGTAAACGGTTACCGTAGCCTATGGACACCCGCAACATTTGGGATATCATGTACACGTTGCAAACCGTGAAGAAACCTTCATGTATTCATCCTTTCTGAAGAACCTCACACATACTTCCTAGAGACTACAATTTCTAGGAAGAAGCTTGGCAGATATTTTTGTTTAATAAAATTTTAAATTAAAATACAATTGTGAAATATCCTCAAATAAATTAGTTTATTTTTATAGCATACGTATATCTACCAGAGGGAGACTTTGTACAAAAGTCGATTGCTTGGATACTTCTGTCCCATTCGTGTTTCAACGGTAAAGCAGTTGTGTTTGCATGGTTGTGTTTCGGTTTGAAGGGTGGGATATGGCATGAATTTACTGGGTACAAAAGAATAACACCTGAGTCCTCAGGAATGGCAACGCATAGGGGTATCATGGGCGAAACAATATACTCTGTTATGTCCATAATACTGCTCATATCCATAGGCGACGGTTACTCAATATCATGAATGTTATTCCTTTCTCTTCTCTTACCCATTATGACTAATCTTATTTAGAATACTTTACTTCTTATCCTAATCCAAAAGCAAACCCGCGAGACATAACTTGTTAAATAATTGTACTAAGAGTTCGACTCGGTTCGCTCGGTTCGGAGGCTCATAAGTTAGTCCGCTGACGCAGCATTCAAACGGACACTTTACACAAACAATTTGATACATGATATATGTACGATTACACAAACAGCGTATATCTAGTGGCCCGCGACACCAAACGCGCCTGCATAATACATCGCTGTACGCTGCTACTGTACGTTGGACTTTAATTATATATCTGCTACAATTTCGCCTTTTTTCGAGTATTTTTCACATTTCCTCCCCCCATCCACCCCCCTCCACCCTGCTGCCGAACGGCCGCAGAAAAAAAACGTCGTGCGTGTGTGTATTGAGCACTCCTGTGTATTGTTGTGACTACGCTTACTGGCAAACCCCGGATGTGGGCAAATATCCGCTGTAAGAGATAACATTACCATCACCGAGCGCACGCCGCCAACTACACGCAAGAGACAATCAACCTCCCGCGCAAATAAAGAGCAACGCTCTAACGTTAGCAGTAAAAAGCACAGATTTAATGCAATTAAGCTTGTAGAATACGGCGCGGAGTTCTCGATAAGCCGTGCTCAACTTTTCCTGTAACAGGCTGTTATTTCACGATTTTAAATCGGTTCTCAACCCGTTAATGACGCGAGTACAAGTGCAGATCGACGGCTCCGTTCGGCCGCGGACCAATCTATTTAATAACCCCC